GTCAACTTAGCGGTCTTGATTATTACCAATTCGTGAATCGACTTTGAAATTTATGAACTAGTAATAATCGCGAATCATCGCCAATTCTTCACCCTGCTACCGTTTTAAACGTATTTTTGGTCAGTTCTCCTTCGGAATAATTCCTTATCAAATACGTGCGCACTTAAAATATTTCCAAGCATATTCGAAGCTGGAAGTACGTCTCATCCATGGCGCCTGCTGTTATGATGCAATCAGCGTTATTGATCCACTCTCTGTATTCCTGCATGTCTCTGACATCTTTTCGATGTCAGTGTCTATCCCGTTGCTTAGTCCCGTGTTGACGCTAGGGCGTTCGTTACGAAGCGTGGACTGTCTGTCTGAGTTCGTGATGACCCAGCCTTCCAGATTTGATTACCAAGCTTTCCATGTTGCTGAACGTATATCAGGTGGCATTGAACTTACCTGGAACTCCAGATCCTGTATCCTCAACTTCGACCGCTGGCCGTACCAGCTCCTGCAGTGCCATCTAGTTGTTAGTGTAAGAGTAAAGATTCATAGGATCACACTTTAGCACAACGATAACTTTGATGAATCTCACTTTCCGATTTTTCGTCTTCCTCTCCAGTCTCCAGTCTTCAGCCTTCGCACCGACACAACATCCGCACAGGTTTCGCACTCAGCAATTAAGCACTTGGCTAATCAATTAGTTTAAAGCGTTAACAACAAAGCAGCTACATCATAAAAATTGCCAACATATCTGACTTACATATGAGAATAAATGTGCGTGCACATCTATGCCCAGCACTCCATCTCTTAAAATGTACTTGCTAATAAAGTTACTTCGGTAGGCGTCACGACGTCAATAGGACTTTCTATAAAAGTATCTCTTCCATAGGATGTTATCTGGTGAAAGATCAAGCTCGCCTTTTATGACCTTCACTTTATCAACTCCCTTAAAAAATTACCACTTTCTTAGAATTGGACAGATGCTCTTCTGCCAAAACGAACAAGCGCCTTTCGAATTGTTAATCTAGGCATACAGGGTACGGCCCGGCTCATTAAAGACACCTTTTTGCTCGAGACGCAGGTGTTTGTGTCATCGCTATGTAGGCTCGACGAGGAGAATGTGGCAAATCCAAGTTTATCTCAGACGGCTGCAGTGACAAGGCCGCATTTAAGAATTTTTCATAACATTTTTTGCACGTACGAAAACGCACCTGTGTTGTTATTGCTCGCCAGATTGGAGCTCGGCCAGAAAGTAAGTCATGTAGTAGGGGTTAAGCCGCAAAATCGCACTGATATCTTTACTATGAGCTTTGCAAGGGAAATTGAGTAACTAGTCTGGTGAATTGAGTATTATTTATCTACTCCTGATGAGAATAAGCTTTTTCTGAACTACTTCTGTTAACGAAGGAGTATTTCCTAGGCAAAAACACACTCAGTCGTTTTTATTGGCTAAGATAGCGATGGCGGAGGGTAAACGTACTGATGTCGATTCCAATCGCGCCAACTTCACTGGGGCTCGCAAAAGTGTCTTGTCGCTTTACTCCTATCGGCAATACAAGAATTAGGCCTAACACATATCGGGTTCAGCCTTTTACACAAGGGTTCCATGTGATTTACCCTTGATACTTGTTAATTTCAAGAGTATCAAAAAGGATGATAAATATTGTGAATATCATATTGTGAATATTATATAGAAACACTCACCGAGCGGCTGATATGGGTCAGCATATCGGCCAGCTTCAGCGGGAGGTTCAACGATGGAAGCGCGAAATATGTGGTGAGCAAGACTACAGCCTATATTTCTGTAGACAAATGCAATAGAGATAGGTAAAGAACATATATTAAAATTAGGACTTCATTTTATTTAATACAGTTTTCATAACCAGTAACTAGTCAGTTCCTAGTTGTTTTCCCTTTCTATACCGGGTTAGTAGGGGATCTTTAACGCTGCTCTCTGTGCTAGAATTTCCACACTGATTGTCAAGTGTGTTGCTTTGGTGCCCCGATACGCAATGGATAGCTAGCACACTTTAAAAAGGGCCAAAGTATAAAATGCCAAAAATCTTGGTGTGTTCAAGCGAAACTGCTAGTGTATGTAAATTCTTCCTAGCAACCTTGCTGCAGCGGCTGAGGGCAGGTCTTACATCCTCCTCTGATAAACCCTACTCCTTCTTTTGTATCTTCCAGTGCAAAATTGTACATATATAGATCGTTTGAGCGTGTCCTGTGATCCGACCCATCGCCCAAACACAAAAATACTTTGTCTGTGTGAGATAATTGTCATGCATCACAAAGCAACATTGACGATAAAGTTGAGCTTGCAATTGTGCGAGCGCTTGGTAAGTAAATTGGTCTCGAGCAATAATTTACAGGATAAATGAAAAAACTCTTCGTTCGCCGTAGTTCTTAAGTCTCCTTGTTCCTCCTTCTAGCACAACAGCATAATCTCCTACATTTGCGAGATAACGACACTTTTATAAAAACAATGCGATGACGGAGAACTTCTTAGCGTTGCATTAAATTTTCGACATAGTGATGTTAGGACCAAGAGCTAAGAGCAACTGCTGACCTATTTTGTCAGAGCGAGAAAAATCCCTATCGACGATTTTATGGGCCTCATCACTTAAGCTGGCAAAGTTCATGTCAGCAATAATATTCCGACAAATCATGAGTAGAGGTGCATGAAGATCACTAAATATGTACAGGAACAGCATCCTAGTGCAAACAGTTTGCATCCACTTTCTGAACTATTCTTGAGCTCTCCAGCCGCAAAAGCCCGTCAGTCCGTATCAATTTAAATGCCAGTCCCGTCGTCTTGTCAGCGTTCACGCCACAGGCTTTACTCGGACTGTTAATTTAAACTGAAAACATGCTCAATGCACCAGCAGTTTACGCTTCATTCGCAGCCATACCATCATACCTGGTACTTAGATATGCAATGGGCCTATACGACAAGATTTAATTTGCCGTATTAACTTTCCCAGTTCGCTAACGCTTTCTCGCTCCTTTTCCGCTGCCAAGATCATAGCGATCTGACCACTACTGGAGCCAAAGCCAACATCAGTGACGTTCGCAGCTTCATACCACGACTCACTTCTAATAAGCACCACTAGGTCGCTTATGAACAATTTATATGTATTCTACGCGACGACAAAATCACGCTCACGACATCACAATTTAAACTCGACAGTGCTTCTTCCCGCCGCCCCAAAAATGCTTTACACGCAGCGCTGAACTTAGTGGTAATGTTGTATCGTGACGCGTGACGATTGCCTCAACTAAACAATTTGTTTTTGTGCCTGGGCGATGAGCGGGATCACAGAGCACGACTCAAAAGTACCATATTATGTACAATTGTGTACTGGATGATCCAAGAGAGGATCTACAGTCTATCAAAGGACGATATTTAGATCCGCCCAGCGGCTAATCGAGGGTACGTATATACAGACTCGTGCAGCGGTGCAACCCGTGCTTGTACTCCTAGTATAAAGCGGGATCTGAAGGGGCTCAAAAACAGCGTAGGACTTATATACACTTTTGAGACAATTATTCGGAAGCTGTTCGAATACAAATCTTGAAGCCGATGGAATGGCCGACTCATGACTTGTATTATTTGTCTTGAAACGACGAGGCCTGATCTGAGCGCTTACGCTATATATCGAAAATTTAAATGTCTCGGCAGTACGTGTTGGACGTCCGACTCGTCCAGGTGGCTTGAAATATCCATCTATTTCCAAGTAGGCCATCGCAATGGTCAAGACGCAGTATGAATGCAAGGATTTGTCGACGAGGTAGAAAGCGAGGACGGGTGTAAAACCCGAATTCCTTACGCTAGGCACAGTGTCGCCATTAAAAGGTGCAGTGTCGAAAGGAGAAGCAGTGGATTCTTCTACTAAAAGCATAGGGTAGGAGGAAGAACTAAAATTGAGTGGCAGCAAGCATCAAGAAGGACCAACCAAAAAATGCACTGACAGGAGACGGATGAATAAAATTTGTGTGTGCGTAGTCATGCGTAGTCATGAATGCTTGTGTTAAGTGCACTTGTACATTTTCTGAATGTATTTGAAGCTCTAAAAATGAACTATCAGGCTTAGCCCGGCTGATGGTTTGCGTAAATTAGGCTGCAATTATTGATGCTAGTAGCAAGTATAAATGTACGAATAAAATCTGCTTATCTCATCCATTTGCTCATCTTATAAAAGCAAGATAATGGCAGACGACTATATTCTTCTAGACGATCAAATTACCAGGCAAATCTTGGTCGTCAGCAACTTCAGAATCAATTTTGTACTAGGGCTGCGCATCGTCCATCGGTGGACTCCATGTATTCAGTCACAATCAATCAAAAGTCCGGGTGCTGCAGACATCGCATCCAGTGTGTTGTATCGTCCCAGAGCCTGACTAGGTGGCAAAAATGATAGGTGATATCCGTTGCTGCCAGATCCAGCGTAGCTAGAGTCTGTGGATACAATGAAAATCGTGCAGCAGCTATCACAGCCTAACGAATGTCACTATTATCAATAAGCGTGCTAGTGATGGTTCGTCCAAGTTTATGCCGCAATACTGGTGTCATGCATGATAATGGCGTTTATTCAGTTGGTAAAACGCTGCAATTTAAATCGAGTGCAAACGTTTGGGTACGTTCGTTACTCCAGAAACAGGTACAACAGAGCCACGTTGTCGTCGCCACAACTCCAAGCGCAATGGTGTATGAAATATACGGCGACGAAGCGTTAGGTGGCCATTGAGCTGCATAAACATTCGGTGTGCTATCGATAGGATAGATATTCACCTCAAACGATCTTACCTGCCCGAGTACAGCAGTAAATTATAAGCGTCGAACACTCTGACAATTGTTTGACCGAGATATCAACTTCAGCAGCATCGGTAGGATTCGATACCTTTGCGACTGGTCTGGTCAAGATTGTTTTTAAAATGATCCAGCCCCAAGCGATCATTAAATTGTATCGGCGTGATTGCATCAGCTTTTACTAGTGTGTCACTCCAATTCGCTACGACAAGCCACATTCGCTGAGAAAGTGCAGCGTATCGTCACGCTCTATGAACCCAGACCGCAGGTTACACTGGATACTGGTGTCGAGCGACACGATGTGATGGTACCAAAACGAAGGAAGATACAACACTTCACCAGCAGTCAGTGCCACTTCCGTCGCAGGGCAGTTGCACACATCGTCAGGCAAGGCACTAGTGTTTGACCAATTATACGAAGTGTGGCGCTCCGACTGCCCTGTGATCAGGAGTCCTTGGCACCTACAAGCGCTGGGTGGTGCGATCACATACCGTTTGGTTCCGCGGATCATGGAGATGTGATTAAACCCGCCGTCAATATGGCCATCGGTGACAATATCTTGCATTCCAAAACGACAACGCATTCCACGCTCCTCGGCCACAGCTGGATCTCGAATGAATAGATCGCCATATCTCGGATCTGGCTCTGTCAGCAGTGGGTTCATAAACGGAAGCTCTTCGTATACAAAAGCCGCCTGATCCAAGAAGTCAGCAGCTTTAAGCATGAGGTAAAAGTATTTGTGAGGGTTCCCAGCCATTTCGAGCGTCTTAGCGCCGTCCACCGCCTCCATAAACTCCGGGTACGTCATCCAACGCGATTCGTACGTTTCCTTCTCACTAGCAAGCTGCTTGCTCTTGCTGTAATACATAAAATGGCGGTCGTTGGCAATGTGCACCTTGTACATTTCCTTCGGGCTTAGCTTCATCATCAAATACTCGTTCGTCCACTTGTTTGCAGCTTGCGTCAGCTCCGGCACACCGTAAGCCACAAAAGGCACTTCCATCTCTCGGAACATTTGAGCCAAACGAAGCTCATACTGCAGATACAGAGTGTCCATCAGTCAAGCCACAGACCAAAAATAAAGAAGCATTGCCTTCACACAACGTACTGGCATGGAGACATTAAAGTGGCAGATACTGTCATACAGAGCATCAGGCACTCGAGCCGTACTCTCCTGCTTCCAATTGTCGAACAATGCAGCAGACGGGAACAACTGCGGGTAACCTTTGCATCCCTCTACTCCGTCCATATCGCACTGGTACCGCAATGCCGGCAAGTCACACTGGAACTTGTTGATGGCGCCGTTAGGATACTCAAGGGGTAAGGGCCGTTGCAAGTGCTGACCTTCTAAGATCACGACGTGATTACCGATACCCCAGCGCAGACCGTTGGTCGCATTGCCAGCTTGGAAGTGTGACCGTGCGTTGGCGACTTTTGATGGAAAGGATCCCGTCAGATAATAAGACGGAGATGTCCGCCACAGCACTAGACTTATAACCACCATTCCTACGAAAATGAACAAAGAGGCAGAAGCTCTGGTGCATTGACCCTGACGCAACCGCCAGACCTCGCGACGAAGGAATGCCGAGGTGCGTAGTTGAGCTGCCCCTGACGGGATCATTTGTTCGATGCGACGAAGTGAGGTTACGAAATAGCTCTTGTGTCGACAAAGAAGCTGTGCTAACGGGTTCACGAATCAGCCATTACACAGTTGGTGAGCAGATGCTCGATCGCCACGGCCATATTTCAACGGAAAAGCAGCTAGCTACGGCTGCTGACCTACCCGATAATTCCATTGTCGAAGCGAGTGGTTGCAAAACGGCTCTTATCTTTACAAATAGATTAATACCGTCGTCCCTCCGATAAGTTTCACCTCGATAAATTTCATCCCCTAATAGGGTGTCGATTTCGGCGTCCACGGATCTCGTTCAATGGCCGCTACGTTAACAGTTTTAACTTATGATCAAATACGGTTATATACTAAAAAACGAGCACATGCTTTCGTATTGTAGAGGAGAAAACTACTTGAACCACATGTCGAGGGTGGTTTAGGTGGTGGGAGTGTTGCGAAGATAAATCTGGAAATTGCGAAGGACTTTATAAGCAGCTTAGTGACGTTTTTGGGATAAGTCAAGCAGGGAGCAGGCATCACGAAGGAGGTTTATCTACTCGATTTTAAAAAGCAAAAATCTGTGAGAGGTGCCGCATCTTCACTTTTCCTCCTCAGCATTTGCCCCGACAACCTTTTTATAAAATTTCGTTGTCGGTTAGCTCAGGATGAGCAGTCTCATCCTCTTCGATGGGATCGAGAATCTCCTAAATCTTCGTGGGATCTCGAGCACGCAGCTTTGTGAGATGTGCTATCAGCTCTTGTTCCAGCTCACTTTCTTCCTCCACGACCTCCGTTGTTACATATTTACTCCTTTTAAACTCCACTGCATTTGAAATGCCCGATTTAGCAGAACAAGGCCGGAATGGCTGCAGAAGTGGGAAATGGCATTGCTTGACATTTCGTTCCAGGCAGCCACCGACCAGCGCATGGCAGTAATTTGGTCGACTTAGTAGTTATTAAAACCTCCGTACGCTCTTCAAAGTCGATCGCATTCTGCAAATGGTAGCAGCGATACATCCTCTTTAACGCTGCGATGACACCAGCATCTATCGAATGAATTATTAAAGTCGTACGTGGTGAATAGAGTTGGACCTTCACGCTATTTTGTGTGAGGTCATTCGTCATATGCGAAGGAGCATTAAAATTCTTGTGAACGATATTTCTAATTGATGTAAACAAAACAATACTAGAATGAAAAATTTTCTAATATATATGGCTGCGCACCTTCATCATTTGGTCTAGAATTAGGTGCCGTTCCTGGCAAAAAACCGCCGTCATCTAAGCCTTTGTGTTGTCGCGATTAAGAAATTCATGAAATGAACCTGATTTCTTGCCAAAGCAGCGAAAGTTTATAACCTTTTCGATAAAGTAATGCTGCATCTTGTCAGAACCATCAACATTTGCGGTGAGCGCAATACTTAACCCCGACTACAAAGGATGTAAGTGCATACCCATGTGTGAGTAGATGGAAACAAGCGATCTGCTATGTAGTCACCTTTTATCTTTGTGTTTCCTTAAACTTCTTACCGTGCAATAGTTCTGTCAGGTGTCATGCTGTAGAATAGTTCTGCAAATTATTCTGTCAGAATTGGTTTTTAAAAAGTATAAGAACAAACAAAATTTTCGGTTTCATCCATGTTGTAAATATCACACAGCGCGTACTCTGCGATAACCTTCTTTACATCAGACAAAGGTCTATATATAGACCTCAAGTCCACTAGCCACTTTCACCGCACATGTTGATAGCACGGAGCATGTGACGATATTGAAATTTATGAATCCATCCGTACGAGATTGGCTGGCGTCTTTAGAATTATTAAGCAAAAAAGCAAGCCAATGAGCCTTCACACGGATATATTTCTAATGATAATATTTCCGAGGTGTTGACATTGCATAACCCAAAAAGACACAGCTTCTTCAAGTTTGGGATATGACCAATCGCTGTCGCTTTGTAGTTAGGCTGCTTGGATCCATACTCTTCAGATTAGACCACTTATAAAATCTTGCTGATTGATGCTTCTATAAGCGTTTATACAAGGCCGAACTCCACCGTAGCCCATTTCGCTAGTGCCTTTTAAGATAAATCCGGGCTTTTATCATTTGAATTGCATATTTGTCGACGTTGTCCATTGGAAAGACGAATCTGCGGTTTTTTACACTGCTTATACTTTACACCAACAGGCAAGACAGGGTTTATAATTTTGTATTTGCGGCTTTTTCGGTTTAATAATTATTAGCTCAGATGAAAGAAGATGTGGGTGCGTCTCATACCGTTGGGAAGGTTTCAAACTAGCCAGGAGGCGAAGATGACGGTTCTGTTCTATCAGTGAAAGCCTTAGGAACGAATTTTTGCTTGTACAAAAGGGAAGTGGTGGGGGGGTGAGTGCCCAGGTCCGCTATTTTATCACTCAATTATTGATGTTCTTATGTACTATTCACGAAAATATTACAAGCTGTGACCTCTGCTAACTGTTGTTAATATCGTCCTTCAAACCCAAACTTATCGGAGGGAAGAATGTCGATCCAAAAAGCTTTTTAATCTGCTCTTTAGGAAACAGATTGTATTCCTATGTATGATAAGTTGTCGGTCCACCATTTCCGTTTTTAATCTAATGTCTCAAGGAAACTTGACATTAGGCAACTTCACTGTTAATGGATGGTTTTCTCATAAAATGATGAGCTTGGGACGAATTTGTGGATCTGTGGCGGGAAAATGACCTTTTCTGCACCACTTACACGGGATGATAACTCGTCTTGAAGCATTTTAATTCCAGTTTTACTTTTCTTGAAACACTCCGATGTTTATGATGAGGTGAGTCCGCCCATAATATTATGCGTAAGGAAAAATAGGGAACAAGCTTTCGAACCTGCTGTTTCATTTTAGTAGTCAAGTTGAGATTAATGTTTTAAGCTGGAAAACACATTACAACAGAAGACACTAATGAAGGAGTACCATGATGTTATTGGCTATATTATGCTAGTTCAGAATACCTTGGAAAATGCGATCAGCTTTTCCTTATAAGCGCTCTGCATGCTTATGTGATAATATTCACCTTTGATCAATTTACAGCAATCACAAGCGTGGACCACAATACAGACCTAGTCGAGAAGTGAAATTAAATAGCATTTTACGAAGGAGAACAGTCTTGATCGCATTAGTATTGCATATAAGGTAGACCTGGCGTTTTCGTCATACACACAGACAGGTTCGATTTTTAAACCTTGGCCATTATCTTAAGCACATCCAATACATACTTTTTACTTTGGACTCGCAATACGTTCATATCGTCTGGACATTACTACAAAGTTGCGAAGCCACTGTTGTTTAATATTTTCGATTAGACTCGACGATGTAATGTTAAATGCGTCGTTTAAGCCATGTTGTCATTTAAAGTTATCATTTTTCACTAAACTGCAGCCAATGACATGGAACTTTCTCTGCCAATGACCTAAAAATATATGACACGAGAGTTTTTATCTAGGGTATTGAAGAACTACAAAACGTAGGCAAAAATGGAATACCTTAATTTCTACAGTCATTTCCGAAGTGCTTCGCCGCTGTGGTGCACTTTATCAGTAAGATGGAGGAGAAATGTAGCTGAGCTGCTCTAAACTGCAGATAAATTAGAATTTTGGACCTGAAGATTGTCTTAGTGTTTTGAATTAAACGGTTATAAGCTTAAAGGGGCAGCCTTCTTATAGACTTAATGAGACTTACGTCTAAGTACATTATCTTTCGAAAGGTTCAAGTCCTGGACTAAAAGACTAACGAATCCAATTAATCACGCGGCCCTATTACCCGAGAGTACTAGCCTTATTGCAGTCTTTAAACTCTTACAATCAAGATGTCTTAATAGACACGTGTCTGAAACTGACCAAAAGGGGAAATTTACGTACTTACTGGTGTGTAGCCATACTAATTCACACTTATGTGTTGAATTCTAACACTGCGCTACTTTGTAAACTAGTCTTCATTGAGGTTTTTCCGGTGGTTTGTAAGTGAAACTAGGCCGTACTAGGAAGACCCTATACGATAGATAACAAATATTCGTAATCCCTAAGGTAAGGTTTTATTTCTTATTGTATGTGATGCAAAAGTACGCTTATCAGTGAAAGCAATTAACCAGAAATAATATGATATTTTGATTTCTTCATATATTGTTAAACTGATCCCTTCAGGTGTATATAATACCAGCGTCCCTGGTTATCGAAAGCTTTCGCGTAACCGGTTACACGATATATGTAGTCAAGTCGGAACCCATTTTTCTGCGGACATCGTGTGCGGCAGCTGCTTTATGAGATTCGAAAGGCGAAGCTGGAGGAAAATTAGGAACATATAGCGTACCTGTTGCGCATGTTTAATTTTTCGGACGGAATAAGCTGGTTTCCGGTACTGACAACGTACTCGATAAGCGGAAAGCTCTACTGGCAAGTCTACCGACAACGACGCATTTAAAAATAGCTGCGAAAGACTGAGTGCTTTGCTAGTGCTCTGTGATTTGCGACATGATAGATGGAATTCACAGCAATATAGAGCAAATTACGACAGAAGGCCGATAACATTAGGTCAACTCCAGCTTAGGGCAAAGCGCCACATCTTTACAAGATTGGCACGCGACCTGATGCATCAGCTCTTGAGCACACAACAGCACCAGAAATGTTAATTGCTTTAGTGGCCATATATGCAGAAAGGTCATAACCTCCGTTTCCAGACTTCGTGTACGACAGCTGGTGCATGTAGCAGTGTCAGCTTTGTTGATATTAGAGATCTACAGCTTTAATGCCATGTCAGCATAACTTTTTGCGAACCCGGAAATTCTGCAGTACGTAAATTGCATCCAGGGACATGTGAGCGGGAGCTATAAGGTTTTTGAAAAGAAAGAAAGCGCTCTTCTAATTGCAGAAGGCCGGACGGTAGTGGAACACAGCAATTGATAGCCATCTCCTGGTGCAATATTCTAAGAATGGACACACAGCAGCCGTTTTTATAGATATGTTGAAAGAACGGA